TCTAAGGCATACTTTCGTTGGCAGAGAAAAATCCCAGACGTGCTCCTCGCCACCTCAATGCCAAGAAAGTATTTCAGTGTTCCCAAGTCCTTCATATGAAAACAATCTCCGAGATAGGCTTTGAACTTGCTTACCATCTCTGTATTATCTCCAGCAATAATCAAATCGTCAACATAAACCAAAACATGTATGACTCCTTTCTTTCCAACAAAAGAAAACAAGGAGTAATCAGCAACAGATTGAACAAACCCATAGCGTTTTAAGGCTCCAGACAACTTGGCAAACCAACACCTTGGAGCTTGCTTTAAGCCATACAAAGACTTCTTGAGTTTGCACACCACATTAGACGAATTCGAGAAACCAGGTGGCAATCTCATATACACCTCATCCTGAAGATCTCCGTGTAGAAATGCATTGTGAACATCCATCTGATGCAATTCCCACCCCTTAATTGCTGCAATTGCTAAAAGCGTTCTCACAGTGGTCAACTTGACTGCAGGAGCAAATGTTTCTTTGTAGTCAAGTCTTTCGACCTGATGATTGCCAAGTATAACAAGTCTGGCCTTATATCTCTCTACACTTCCATCAGACTTGCGCTTGATCTTATATACCCATTTGCAACCAAGGGGCTTTTTATGGCGTGGAGGAGAGACAAGAGACCACGTCCCATTAGCCTCCAGTGCATCAATCTCCTCTCTCATACCCTTCCTCCATCGTTCATCCTGGAATGCCTTCTTGAAACTTGTGGGCTCCACTCCAGCATCAAGAGCGCTGAGAAAACACTTGTGTCTGTCATAGAACTTCTCGTGTGTGACATACGAGGCAAGAGGATATTTGCATTTTTCACCAACATGTGAACCAGCTACATGGGTAACATAATCGGCAAGGTGTACATTTGGACGTTTCTCACGTTGACCACGTCCCAAGTTCTCCACCGCCTGCTGGGAAGAGGACGGTCGACCGCCGTCCGTGGAACGGTCCACGGGGTCGACCGTCTGAAGTTGTTCTGGATCGCTAACTTTCTGTCTCGGAGACGGTCGACCGTGGATATCAGAACGGTCCACCAGGTCGACCGTTTGGTCATCTCTCAGGAACCCGTCATTCTGCCTCTCGGACGGTCGACCGTGGACAACCGAACGGTTCATCCGGTCGACCGTCTGTAGCATGTCTGCTCCACCGCTTTCCTCTGGTCGACCGTCCCTCTTGGAACGGTCCATCCGTTCTTCCATCCGCAGTTCTTCATCTTCATCATAAGAGCTAACTTCATTTGTACTTCCTGTATCAAGAGATGCACCTGTAGGAGTCAAGAAAGGGAAAATATCTTCACAGAACACAACATCCCGGGACACCTTAATTTCCCCAGTGTCCGGGTAGTAAATACGCCATCCCTTCTTCCCTTGCGGATATCCAACAAATATTCCAGGATTGCTTCTTGTTGCGAATTTATCTCCATTCCTCTTCAAGTTATGAGCATAACATCTGCATCCAAAAACACAAATATGAGCCAAAGAAGGTGGCTTTTCATAGATCTTCTCGTATGGTGTGATCCCCCCTAGCAAAGACGAAGGTGTACGATTGATCAAATGTGCGGCGGTCTGTATACACTCTCCCCAGAACTCAATCGGAAGACCAGCCTGAAACCTCAAAGCCCGACCTACATTCAAAATGTGTCGGTGCTTGCTTTCTACTCTCCCATTCTGTTGTGGAGTAGACACACAAGACGTCTCATGAATAATTCCTTGGTCCTTGAAATATTCGTTTAGACATTAAACAATTCTGTGCCATTATCACTGCGAACACACTTTATTTTCTTCCCAAATTGTCGCTCTACCATAGCACAGAATTGTTTAAAAACAGTGCCAACCTTGCGTTTGGAATCAAGCAAATGTACCCAAACACCTCTTGAAAAATCATCCACAATGGTCAAGAACATTGTAGAACCATCAAAACTTAGAGTCCTATACGGTCCCCATAAATCACAGTGTATCATATCAAATTTATCAGCAGATTGATAAAAACTTATAGGAAAGCTCCCACGAGTCTTTTTAGCACGCAAACAAATATCACAACAACTCTGACTACTCTTACTTGTTCCAACTCCAGGAACAAGAGACAAAACATGAGAGGAAGGATGTCCAAGTCGTTTGTGCCAAAGATCAAACTTACTCTCCTTCTTCGCACTGCACACCATCTTCTTTTCAGGCTCTTTGAAGTAATAAAGTCCTCCTTCCTGCTCACCCATACCAATTTCTGTCTTTAAATACAGATCCTGTAGTATACACTTATCGTTGGCAAAACGTGCCTCATAGTTCGAATCCCTTGTCAATTGTGACACAGAGATTAAATGGCAACTCAAAGTGGGAACATATAGGATATCGTGCAGAAGTAATGTTTCTGTTAATTTAATCTTCCCAGATTGTACAGAAATAATTCTTTTCCCATTGGGCAAACCAATCTCACATGGTGATATTCCCACGACGTCATGCAATAACGAAATATCACCAGTCATATGATTTGATGCCCCAGTATCTATAATCCAACGCGGTGACACAGGAATACCTGAAAGCTTCACTAGAAACACACGATGATAGGGAGAAAAACATCTTCCTTGGTTGTTCATCGGCCATGGCGGTAGCAGAGTGGTGTACGGCGGTGGCAGAAGAATCAACAGTAGCATCTATCACACGATGTGCCGACGAGACGGTCGACGTGCTCGACCGTTCAAGAGCAACGGTCGACCGTTCCGTTGTCCGGCAACAACAACAACAAACGACTGAAACTGAGCAACGATCGATGGACGCCATGCCGGGCGATCGTGAACAGTAGTCGCTGAAAAACTCTAGGATTTTGGCTCCGATACCATGAAAGAATTATTTGGGAGGAAATTCTCTGTATTTCTCTCTTGTCCTTACAATTTACAATGAGGACCTATATATAGGATCTCACAAGCTGAGACTTCTAATAAGTAAAGGAAAAAGAAAAAGAAAGAATTTCTATACAAGGAAAACTACCAAAACAATACATACACAAATATCTCCCAATATTCTACCAAATATTCTCTTTCCTTTAACAATTATCTTTTTAGAAAATACTCCGTAATTGTTTAAAAAGTATTTGTCAGATTTATTCTGTTATTTTCCCCACAAAATCCAACAAATTAAAAGAGGTGATTTTTTTAATGTCATCTTTTTTTATGCTATTATAAGATCGGTTAAAAAAGGAGTCAATAAAAGGCTATACACATACGGTTGAAAAGTGGAAAAATAACATGTCCATATCTTTGATGGGTAAAGTTACGTATCCCAATCTTAATTTCAATAATGGAACTTCTAAGCAGTCCTAATTAGAAGTGTAGTGAACACAAATTTTCAAGTCTAAGACGATCATTGTACCAGGCATCCTCCGGAACTTAAAACTAAGTTATAAGTAAATCATTTGGAACATAACTCATTTTTTCATAAGAGAATTCGAAGTGAAGCACAACACATTAGATGTATAACAACGGCAGCAGCAACAAAAACAAAGACAACTCAGTTGGGTCTGAGGAAGGTGTGTGTACGCAAACCTTGCCTCTCCTCGAAAGTAGAGAGAGGCCCCGGCTCACACACACACACACTTAATAAGTAGGAATTTGAAGCCTTCTAATTGATGTTGCGTTAACTGAATCCTGCTTTGCATTCCCCTCTATCTTTCATCAGTACACCTTGACGCCACCGGGGATATGGCCGCTACCATAACGTCCAACGTAGTGCACTGAAAGGAACATACTCATCAGAAAAAAAGGCATTCATCCTTCACATTCTAACACTAAACATATCATATGCGTCTGGATGAAATCTCACCGTCTACAGAACCACCAATTTCATTATTTTTTTCACCAGCATCATCACTTCCGCTGTCCCCACTTTCACTGCCTGATTCTGCTAGAGCCATGGTCATCCCAATCTTTACAACTTTTGCAGCTTTATCGAGTGACATACTGGTAAAATCCCTATAACAAAACATGAACCGCTATAACATCTTTTTCAAAAACTCAAGGACTGAGGACCAGGAAAAGGAGTGATACCTATTGACAGCAATAAACGCAGCAAATGTTGGACAAGATCCACAGCGAAACATTACCCCCTCATACAGCTTTCCATCACCACCCAAGCAGTACAAGCTAGGACCCTACACAAAGAACACCAATAAAAAAATCCCACAAAAGCATACATAAACATAACTCCACATTCAAGATTTAAAAAAAAAATCACTGATGAAGTCTTAAATGTACCGTTTTATCCCATCCAGCAAACACTATTTCACACAACCCCTCCATATTATCAGAAGACAACACCTTGGCTACATGCATTGCAATCTTTTTGGCAGAATGACGTTTCTTCTTGGGGTACTAAAATTGAAACATAAATGAGATTTCAATAACAACAACAAACATACAAAGAAGAAACCATCACACCACATCCTAAGTTTTTTATTTCTTTTTCTTTTTTTGCTAAGAAGAGAACAAGAAACACCGTGATCACTACCTTCAGAGAGCGGAGGAGATTGCAAATATTTTCACAGTCCGCAGCCTCTCCAGTGACACAGCCAATCACATGACAACTAATGTTAATAATGTTATTCTGAACAGCTGAAAATGATGCAAAAAATCAGCAGCACATTCACAACTTATTTCCCAAAATACAGAGCATATATACATACACGGAAGCAAAACAACTCACACGGATAACGTTTTGTGCCAGCGACTGAATTATCAACAGCAATCAAAACCCCTTCACTACAAATAAAAGCCAGAACAGGGGGGCCCTTTGTTGTCTCAGGTCTTGTTTCCATCTATCACCAGCACACAAAAAAACATTAGTATAACACTAATAATATCGGTGGGGTTCTAGTGACACCGGAGTACGGTGACACTAGCGGTGCCATTGTCATTTTGGGGCACTTCCGGTACTCCATTCGTAAAATTGACGATTCCTACCCCCCTAACCCACCCCCTAAACCCTCAGCCCTGCACCCCCAATCCAACCTCGCCGTTACCCCCCACAAAATGTGTGGCTATTATGCATAATAGCCACACATTTTGTGGGGGGTAACGGCAAGGTTGGATTGGGGGTGCAGGGCTGGGGGTTTAGGGGGGTAGGAATTGTCAATTTTACGAACGGAGCACTGGAAGTGCCCCAAAATGACAGTGGCACTGCTAGTGTCACCGTACTCTGGTGTCACTGGAACCACACCGTAATAATAATCAAACCAAATAGAATGGAAAAGAAACCACAAACATGCGACTCCATAAAAATTTAAGCTTTGACCATACTTCATTGAAAAGGAAGAAATAAGATAGACTAACCTCTCTGGAAGCCAAAGACTTGTAGGCAAGATAGCTTTTGCCGTCCACAAGCCATTCCAATTCTTGATAAACCAAATACTTAAAAAACTAAAACAAAGTAAACCAAAGAAATGCAAAATAAGTACATTAAAAGGAGAGTAAGACTTTGTTCTTTTCGGTTGAAATTCTAAGGTTGAACGTTGAAAGAAATTGGAAGAAAGAAGAAACCAAAAGAAGTTGGAAGAAACTAGAAGAGGTTGGAAAAAATAAACATTAAATGATTAGCCAAATAAATATGTAAGAAAACTAATTATGGACATTTAAAAAAATTGGTCTTTATCCGTGTTTGAGGTGTTATGTTATAAATTTGGATATATAATGTTATTGTATAATGAGTGGGGTTCCGTTGACACTAGAATCCAGTGTCAACGAATGACACTCACCTATTTTGGGACACTTTTGGTGCTCCGTTTGTAAAATTTATGATTCCTACCCCCTAATCAACCCCTAAACCCCCTACCCCAGCCCCCACCATAGGACAGGGAAGGGGTTGGTTTGGGGGGTAAGAATCATCAATTTTGGAAGCAAAAATGACTGTGACATCAGAGTGTCATCGTACTCCGGTGTCACTAGTACCTCACCGTTGCATAATACATATTTCAAGTTGTTGAAAGAAACTGGAAAAGGTTGAAAAAAGTTAAAAGTTAATTTTTCAACCGAAAATAATAGAGCCTATGTAGGAAAACAGGAGTTTAATTAGTATTATTTCGCACCATAATTGCTCATGCTGATTTCGAAAAAAATACACATGAACATATAAAATCAGTGTGACTGCTCAAAACCCAAATTCAAAGAAACCAATTTCCAGGATGTGATATGAATTTTATCTTAAAACACATTGTGATGCACATCCAAATCATGAATTCCTCCAATTAATGTATTACTTTCTTAAGCTTGTTACAATAGGAGTATTAATTCATTCCATCTATAATGTTGTGATCTTTCAAGGATAATGGAAACGCTCAAGAACTTTGTCGCCATATTTGTATCATCAAATTATCATCAAGACCATTCATTTTAATATTTCATGAAGAGAGGAACTAACCACTCTATCAAAGTCAAAGCAAATGTTCATGTTTCTGCAGTCATCAGGGTCATTGTCCACAATAGCACTTAACACAGAGATGCATTGAGCGTACAACTCGGGATTTGCTATCTGGCAAGATAAACAAAACAAAGTCAAAAGAACAGGTTAATGCAGGTGATGATGTAGTAAATTATCCCGCAAGATAAAAATAAGTCACACTATGTGAACTAGAAAACAGAACGGAAAAATAAACAATAATTCAAAGAGAGAGAAAAAGAGTAAGCTCCATAGCAGTGGGTTTCCTCAAATATTATCTTCGTAGTCCTCTATGTCTATTAGAGAACTATTCCATAATTGGTCCTTTGACCCAATATTATTTCAGATATAGTCCACAAAGGAGGCGATCATGGAATAATTCTCATTTCTCAAATACCGGGGAGCACAACTGTTATATCTTAGAATAAGGACTATATATGGAGAACCCATGTTATAAAGGACCATTTATGAAATTAATTCCAAGAAAAATAACTCTATCAAAGCAACAGAGATTTCACCACCTTTGGGCTCTCTGGGGATGAGGGCTCATCATGAGAAAAGAATGCTCTCCGCTTCATGCAAAAAAACAAACAAAATTAATCAGGCAACTGTATCTTCAACTGGAACATAGGGAGCAAAAGAAGAAACATGATGAACTCCCACAGCTTAGAGCAACTGAGGCTATACATCTTAGCTACAAGTAGTTGATGCAGCTAGATAAAAACATGTCAGAGCAGCAGAAAAAAGAGAGATTTTACCGGTGGGCTCCTTGGAGAGGAGGGCTCATCAGGCCAGGGTATCTTCATGACAGCGAAACAAACAAAAATCAATTAGACCAAAGCAAACATATGGACAGATAATCAAGGAGCAAAAGAAACCGGAAACATTCATTGATCCCACTTGTTACTCCTACCAAATCAAACAAAATCAGACTAAATTGATTAAATTAATGTCTCCCCAATCAGATTCCTAGCAGAAAAAACGAAAACAAAAATAGAACAAATAGCAATCAAATATGCAAGGGGTTTTTACCAAATCTTCCTCGGAAGCCATGAATTTCTCACACCTCAATCAGATCAAAACAAACAAAGATCAGACGAAAGAACGGAGGCGATGCAGGCGTAGTGTTTTGCGCACCAGAGACTTGAGCAATCTTTTAGATCATGTTCATCATGCTATTGACCTTAGCAGCCATGGTCGACATTTGATCAACTCCGTATGTGCCTCGAATTTTCGGTTGTGTTTGGCAACTAGCATTTCATTTGAATTCATGCATTTCAATTCCAAAATTTGAAATCTTGAATTTTAAATGACAAGGGGAGGTGCATGAATTTGAAATTAAGCTTTGTTATGAATGAGAAGAATTTGACTCAAATCCAAATTCAAAATTTTTAAGTTTCCCAAACATGGAATTTGAGTCAAATCCGGATTTGAAATCCAAATCCATGTTCCCAAACATACCAATGTTTGGGAACATGGATTTTGATTTCAAATCCAGATTTGGCTCAAATTCCA